AAGCTGCTGATAATAGCTCCACAGGTCACTTTCATCAGTAGGTTTTCTTCTGATGTAATAAGGAACTTGGCTTCAATCCTTCAATTTTGATATAATCTTCCCTTCTCATTATCCTTGTTAAGTTAGACAAAAGAACAACTAGAAATAATACTTAAGTGAGCTATACGTTAAATAAAGAAACTAGTTTCTAAGGCCTATTATGCTTTGTAGTTATCAGCTGTTTATTTCTATTGGTTCATGTATTAGCTCGGCCTGTTCTTATTCATATTTCATATACACTGATGGAAAGCATCAGATGTCATATTGTTAATTCCAAAAATATGGTAAGTTAATGTTACTTCATGTTGGAATGATTTGGCTGGACCTGTGTGAATGCATTCTATTAGCAACTTAAATTTTTAGGTAGCAAAAGTGGAACTGGGATAAAAATCAACAACCAGATTGACTGGATCATATGGATTATGGATAGAAGTATAATTTAAAATAAAAATGGAGAAAATATAGAAAATAAAATAATTTAGAAAATAGAAAGAAGATAAGAACACAAAAACGATTCTAAATGTCATCTGATTGATCCTTACCTTTTGATTGGCCATTTGTTGAAGATGAAAAATTTTCAAGTGTGAGTTCAGTCAACATTTCACATTCATAAATGGGAAACGGAGGTAACTATTATAAAAATTTGAACTGCATCTTTTTATTATTTAATTTTGTTATCATTAACTTTAATGTTATATTATTTTACTAAGCATGAACAAAAATAATGTTTTACTGTTTTATATATTGTTCTCAATTTTCTAAACATTTTATCATAAAAAACATAATAGTTTTCTTTAATAAAAGATAAATTTAAATATATAAATATGACAATAAAATTAAATAATATATAATTAAATATATTTATTTCGATATATAATCTATAACTTATTAGTTATACTTAAATAGTTAGGATTTAGTTGAGTACTAGGCTTGGCCTAGTCTTCTGCTTGTGGCTTGAGAAAAGTGTGCAGGTAAGCTATGCTGGCAGTGAGCAGATGATACTTGAATACCAAAGCAAGCGATGATTTATTGATCACACTCGGATCCTCTCCCTTCTCCCCCCTCCTTTGGTTTCCCCTTCTCTGATACTCCCATCTGTCTCTCATAGGTTGCAAAGCTAGAATTACTATCAGTATTGGCTAGGTGCCAAGGCTCAATATCAATTGGTTCTGTTGGTTCAAACCCGATCAACAAAATTAAAATTTTAAAATAAAATAAAACCCATAAAAAGGAGTAAAGTCTCAAAATTAGAAAAATATAAGAGAAATGTTATAAGCTTCTCTATAAGTTTTCATGATCTTCTTCAATTGAATTTAAGGAAATAAAGAACTGACAATCCTCCATATGTACCACCAGCCTATATATGTTACATTGACATTTACTATGTACCTATTCTTGAGAACAGACATCTTTGAACAGTATCCAATAGGAGTCAATTATGTGGCTTGCTATATCCATTTTAATAGTTGGCCTCTCACAGAATTATTAGGGGCAAAATTTAACTACCTCATAAATCACGATCGTTGTTTAAAAGTTGCTAGGGCCAAAGGTGCCACAATTAGCTTCTGGCTCAATTGTGCTTATACCTCTCTTAGGATTTGGAAATAGTACCAAGACAATGAATGGATAGGAATTGATAGCAGTGAATAAGGTTATAATGATGTTATAAGTTCTACCCTGTTTTGTCTGTTCATTTTATTGTTTTTGTAGTTTCACTCAGTCCATTCATGTGATCAACAACTTTTGATATCTTGTTCTTTTGCTAAGTTCATTCTATTTCAGCTCAAGAGCTTCATTTGTTAATTCTGTTTGATATTTGATGTTTCAGATTGCTAAAGTTATAGAGGTTGCTCCTATTCGTGTGTATGAAGTTGCAACTTTCTATTCGATGTTTAATCGGACAAAGGTGCACCAGCCTTGCTACATTTGAACTTTTCAATATGTGATATATATTCAGTTTGAAGTTTTGTTTCCTGACTATGAGTTGCATTTGTTTGTGCATATTCTGATATTGTTAATTTGGTGCAGGTTGGTAAGTATCATCTTTTGGTTTGTGGAACAACGCCCTGTATGATACGTGGATCTCGTGAGATCGAAGAAGCCCTGCTAAAACACCTGGGTGTTAAACGCAATGGTGAGTGTTTTTTACTATACAATGCATAGGACATGGTATTCAAACCTTGAACAAAGGTTTCATAAACCAGTCTGTATATATGAAATCTGCAGAAGTGACCAAGGATGGAATGTTTTCTGTTGGTGAAATGGAGTGCATGGTAAGATTTATTCTTGTCAGAATTTTCTGTCCTGCATTTTTTGGTATAAGTCAAGCCATTCACCCAAAAATGCTGTGAATGCCTGATCTCTCTTTGATACAACACAATTTTATGGCAATCCTGGTCTTCTACAGGGCTGTTGTGTTAATGCTCCAATGATCACTGTGGCTGACTACAGCAATGGTTCAGAAGGATATACATACAATTATTATGTGAGTACTTATGAACTCTCTTATGCATTTTAAAGTTCTTATGAACTCTATAATCATAAAGCAAGAGAGAACATTGAACACTTAAACATTCCCTTTGTTGCTCCAAAAATATAATTGGTCTTATTCCTCAAAAAAGATAAAAGAACTAAATAAACTATCTCTAGTGATACTGGCCACACATCTAGCAAAATTATATTTGTCTATATTCATGATTTGTCATTTTCTTCTGTATTGAATGAAGAAAGACTTATTCTATGTTAGGGTAAGCCAATGACAGTTGTATCTCAGATTGTTCCTTGATTGTTTATCTTCCAGCAATTATTCTATGCCCAGTTCATCAGGGAATATCGTGGATTGCATTATTTTTGGCATAACCGCAATGAAAGGGAATTGGCTATATATCTGAACATTTGTCTTTTATCTTGATCGTCATTGACTGTATGAGGGATCTACAAAAATGACACTTTGCCTCCCAGCATAGAAGCTGAATATATTGTGAGAAGATTTGTGTTTGTATCCTGTAATTACATAGGCAAGAGACTATTGACAACTTGCAACTGGTGGTACTAGTCGTGAGGCATCAAAGAAGCTGATTAGTATTAGTTGAAGGAAAATGGTGGTGAAGAATGGTTGCAGCATGAGTATTAGAAGAGGCACTTTTAGCACCGATCATATTGACTCCAGCTGATTTAGGTACTAAAGAAATCATGTTGAGTATATGACGTCCATCTCATTTGCATTATTCTTGTATCATTCATGAATTCCAAGATGCCTGAATTCAGGTCATAAGCAGTTTATAGATGCTACATGACCCATGATTTTTTTCCCTACTATGGACTTTTTGACGGGTTTAAGAAATAACATTAATTTGAAATCATCTGTTATATATCACTTGATGCTGCAGTTTGATGGTTTCTACAGACTTTTATGATCGAGTAGAAAATTATCACGTCATATAACTATTCCTTTTTTTCCCCTTTCCAGGAAGATGTTACACCCAAACGAGTAGTTGAGATTGTTGAGATGTTGAGAAGGGGAGAAAAACCTCCAGTAAGTGGTTTGAATTGGTGCCTGATCCTTTGCTTGATCTGTCCAGATTCCCAATGCTGATTTCTGACTTCTTGCAGGTAGGGACGCAAAATCCTGATCGCATTAGGGGCGGACCAGCTGGAGGGAACACAAGCTTGCTCGGGGAGCCAAAGCCTCCACCATGCAGGGATCTCGATGCCTGCTGATCATCGGTTGAGTTGTGCCATGAATATAGAGAATTGGTGCAACTTGGCCTCAAAAAATCTTGAGAAGCTTGCCATTTCACCAGTTTCGACGATGAGCAATAGAGACAATGGTTTTGTTATCTACTTATATTATCTCTCAAGATAAATTGCAACCATATGGCGTTCTGTATTTAATCTTGGTTTCAATAGCCATCATTGTCAAAAAAGTGGTTGGCTTTGACAAACTGCAGTATAAACGACACCAATGAGTATCTTAGATGGTGTTGGCCTCCTAATAAACAAGTGACTCTTGGTATCATTTAGTCGTTTCATCTTCTTCATCTATTTTGATCTGTGATGATTTCTGCTAGAAGACCTAACATTTGCCACAAATCTAAAAGAGAATGATGGAGGTTTATGGTGTTTTTTCAAGGTTATTTGGACTCGATGTCTAGGTATCTGAACAGGAATCATGCCAATCTTCACCCTGATACAGGCATGCAATTATTTTTTTTTCATTACTCGTTCCATATATAAATGTTACATAATCATTTATAATGTGATTTATATCCTTCTTCGGTTGATAGTACTTACAATACGTTAACTACTGGGGTGATTTTTCACAGGTGATATGAAATTATTATTACACATACTAAAATCTGGTCCTATCACGGTTTTACTTGGGATCAGTTCTCAGCCATCGCCTTCTCCCAAAAGCCGCCTGCTGATGTGGCAGCATTCCATTGGTCAGGATAGAATCTCGTAGATTTTGGACGGGGAGATGATGTGGCCTCTAAGACAGTCGCCACCAATTGAAGCAACAGTATTCTGCCACGTATTGGTCGGATGGTCCAGCGGTGGACCCCGTTGCTCCGAGAGGCTATCCCTCTCCGGCTATTGCAGCAGATCCTGTAGAGTGATGGGTTTTTGATCGGCTGCGGACAGAGATGACTGTGGATGATAGGCCGCCGTTCCTGCGTCGATTCGTTGGACAGAATCTTGACGTACATGTGCATATCTATATGACTCTTCCTGAGTGGATTTGAGTGAAGTGATAGGACATCAACCGACGTGGCCATCAGACGCTCCCTTATCCAAATGCCCAATAAAATATCAGCTCCTGATCAGGAACAATGTCTGCCTTGAAAAAGATCTCCTCGGTGGGCCCTCACCAAAAAAATCCATTTTTTATTGCCTTGACAGAAACCCCCCCGAGTCCTTCCCTGCCACAATCTTTTTGGCAAGTTGGGTCACTTCGTATTCCTCCACATCCCAAGAAACCACAAAACAAAGAGAACTACATACATCAAATAATTCAGCTACAAGGAAAGAACAAAAGATGGAGAATTGAGCCTTGGAACTGTTGCTTGTGCTGTTGTAATTTGTGCTCACGCCCGTCAAACCAAGGAATTCTGATGGCACCACCAGCATTCCTATCCAATGGTGCCACTTGCAAGACATGGGGTGTTTATGGGAAACTCCTTCGATTGTTCTTGGCATTCGCCTCCTTCCCCAACCTCCCCTATAAATTGCCTCCCAAAACCGAACCAACCAAAGCAAAAACCGCCGTCTCCTCTTCCTTCTTCTATAGTAAATGATTGAGATGCCCAATTCTGATGTTGTTTAGCGAGATTCAGAGGTGTAGAGGAGAGATGGAGTGGGCGATGAAGATCTCCGACGATGCCTGGGCCTCCTCCCTCGCCGCACCGACACCAGCGGACGGCGACGACCATCAAGGGCCACGCTTTGCGATGAATCAGAGCCCGCTGGCATGGCAGTTGGAGAACGTTGTTGCCGCCCCTACCAGCCCTAGCCCGACTCCGGATCACATCCCTAAGTCTATTTCCTGTGCTCCTCCCTCTGATCCTTGCGGTGGAGCGGTGCAGGATGGTGAGATGATGGAGATCGAGGCCCCTGTTTCCGTCGATGATCAGCCATCCAATCCCTTCGCTGGCGTCGATCCACAGGAGTACGCCTCGCTTCTGAAGCGGAAGCTTGATCTGTGCTGCGCCGCAGTTGCCATGTCTCGGGTACTTCTTCCCTCCTTTTCTAGCTGGAAATTTCTGTTCTTGGGTAATTACCAAATGTTAATTTGCTATGACCGAGTGCCTTCATCTTGTTCAAAGCACTTCAGGGCCTTGTCCTTGGAAGATTTTGCTGGCAAACTGATGGGTAACTTCAGCGTATTGTCGAATCTTAGACAGTTTCATCCTAAACTATTCAGCTTTAGCAGTTCCAGAATTTTCTCTGTCTTGGTCCTATCCTTACTAGTTCGATCTAAGCTACGCCACTAGTCTTTTAACTTTGGTGAAAGTTTTTGTTGGGTTTCTAAACTTTAATTTTGTCAATTGACTTACAAAACGTTAGTTCATGTTTGAGTCAAACCCTACTGTCAGCTAATCTCCATAAACAGTAGTGGAGATCTGGCCTGCTGCACAGTAGAACTTTTTTAATATTTAGGATATAACCCCAAAATCATAAACACTAGTGTCTAAGAAAACAGCTGTAAAGAGTTAAAGGTTTCAATTATTTCAATTTTATTTTAAACTAAGTAATAAACACAAATAACTTGCAATTTATCCATATATTTTCAGCTTCAAACCAAAATTTTCTCTTTAAACATTATTGACTTCTAGAAGAATATATTGGTGACAGAATCTAGTTATTGCTACTAGATATGCATGACAATCGAGATATGTGATCACTAAATTGATTTTAATATCTTTTACCATTTTTATACATTTATTTATTCTCACCATACTACCACTGAACACCATAGTGACAATGATGCATTTGATTTTTGGAATGTTGTATAACATTTTTCTCTAGATACTTTTGTTATTTTTGTTTTCTTTGTCATATACAATTTTCTTTTCGACTTTCTGGTTGGAACTGTTTTATCTGGAACTATTGAAACCAGAGAAACTAAAAATGTGTGACTTTGAAGTTGTGGCTGTGGTCAAAATGAAAACTGAAACATTTACTTCAAACCTGAGTCATGGCTACAGCAAGTGTTACATAGTTGCTCTTTTGGTGTTTCCCTTGGAAATATTTGGTGTAGGTTGTACATCTCCCTGTTGGTATTTTTGACCTGTCACTTTCAAGTTTTAATTCCATTTCTCCTCCATCAGTATTTGTGTGCTAACTAAGGTCATATATCAGAACAATACCAAGGAGTTAGGTGAGGTTAAGGCCAAGGTACATCAGGAGTGAGGTACATTCTGATCACATTTGAGCTATGTGCGAGCAAGTTAATTGAGTGGTCAATGACAATAAACTCAGGTAATGCTTTCATGTTGCAATTATGTTAATGTGATTGCTGCCTTGAGATCTCAATCAAAAGGCTAAAGAACAAACACATTATGTTTGTTTGGTTACTAATTTATGTGGTTACCAATGTTTTCAACTTATTGCATGGAACACGTGCCAATTGAGAAAAACCTGTGATATGCATAATAAGATTTACTTATAAGCAATTCACTGCAAGGTTCCAAATTCTGGTGACACAAGAAATTACCTGCTGTTGGAATAATTTGTTCCATTCTGTACTGGAGGTTCCAAATTCTGGTGGCACAGGGAACCACCTGCTGTTGGAATAACTTTTGTACCAACGGAACAGGCAAGTCGAAAAAAACATACCTCTACAGTACTCTTCTTTGCTTTTCTCTAGCATCCTTTCCTTCCCTCCTTCGGTCTTCCATTGGAGATGGGAAGTGATAGAGCTCAAGAGGACATTCTTGCTCTTAAATAAAAAAAACAGCCCAAACCACTTTTTTATTAAAATTAATTTAGGTGAGATTTTAAACTGTGTTTTAAATATAAAGAAACTAGTTGGCCTTTTTTTATCAATATAAGTGACTAGTTTGGAATATTTTAATGTTTAAGTATGACCAATGCCACTGGTTTTGGGATCTACTTTTTGCATCATGGGTCTTAGCCAAACAAGATGTTAATCCTAAACATTTCAAAACTAAATGATTGGTTCATTGCATTGACAGACCTGACGATTACAATTTTTCTTTGTTAAAAAGAATAAAGAAAATAGATCTTGCAAAGAACACTTGGAATCCTTTGGCAGATATGAAAAATTCAAGCTTGTTATGTCACATTGTAACTTTTGTGATGAATATACTCTAAATCCATCTTTAGGTATTCCACCGTCTGTTTTTACCTTAACTATTAGATAAAACTCTGATGGGCCAAATCTTGTACCAATGGAAGATGAATCGTAGAGAAACATTTGGAATATTTATTTAAGCTATACTGAAAATTACCATATCTACTACATATTCTCATAGTAGAAAAATTCTTCATGTTTATCTTTCATTTGTAACTACATTGAGTGTTTTCCCCTGTAGTTATGGATGTAATCTCTTGAAATAAAAAAGAACATGTGTAAAATGGTACCTAACAGTATTTTTAAAAGCATTAGACGCCAAAAGACACCAAGGTCCTAAAACACACAGTGCTAGGCTCTCGCCTGAGCGAAGTGAGGCGTTCCAAAATATTAAAATATAAAAAATATAAATGGAAGAAGGTGGGGGAAGGAGAAGAGTAACCGGTGGCTATGAAGGAAGGTGGGGAAGGAGAGGGCAATGGAGGAAGCTGCGGACAAAGGCGGTAGTGGCGGAGGAAGTAGCGGACGAAGGTGATGGCAGCGGAGGAGGAAGTTGCAGACGAAGATAGTGGCAGCAACAAAGGAAGCTGCAAATGAAGACAGTGGCAGAAGAAGCTTCAGACGGAAGCGGCGACGATAGAGGAAGCTTCGGATGTAGGGTTATACTTCAAAGACAAGCTTTGGGGGTGGTGGTGGGTTTTGTGTTAGGGCACTTTAGTTGGTTCAATTGAACCAACTTGCATGTTCAATCGAACCAAGCATGAACCCGACCCATTCTTCACTCGAGCACTCGCCCGAGCCCCTCGGTGACTGGGCTCAGGCAAGCACCTAGGCGATGCTTCATTGAAACGCCTCTCCCAGAGGTTGTGCGAGGCACTCAGGGCACCAAGCAACAGAAATATCATTCTTACTATCTACCTATTTAGTCTTTGTAGACTCTAAGATTAGTTCAACATGTATTTTTAAGTTACAACCCAGATTATCGCAAATAAATGCAAAACAAATGGTTAAAGAATACCTGCTTTCTTCTTTGCTTTGTTTAAATGTCCACCAAGTGGGTTTTCATTTTTTGTTTTCTTCTATGCTGTTTTTTCAAAGTTCTTTTGTTACTTGTTGTCTCTTTTAAGCAACTGTATGACAGGTGCCTGTCCAGCCATAGAGTATTTGTCAAATAATTTTCTCTTATCACATTTTCCTCCATTGCAGCTACAAATTTAAGTCAAATAAATATCCACATCATGGTTTCTGGTTTGCTATATTTTCAGAGTTCTAATGCAGATCTCCCAAGTTCACCAGCTTTAGATTCTTCACAGTATGGATCTCAGACACCTACGAGGGGTATAATACTGCATACAAGTTGCTTTTACATACACCAATATTGTTAGGTTCTGTAAGTGTTTTTCTTTTTCTTTTTGTTTAATTTTTTTTTAAAACCCAGTTACATTTTCAAGTAGGATATCGTTGGAGTTCTCCTTGTACTGTATATTGTTTTCCCTTTTGTTTTTGACATATATGAAAAAAAAGTCATGTAATTTACTTTGCAGTGACTGATAACAAAAGATGAGCAGAAACAACAATTTAGGAGATACACAAATTTTATATTTAAGATTAAAAATGTTCGAGGTCTTCACAATTTCCTGCTAGTATATAATTGAAGCGAACTTCACTTATCCAATGAGCAACTAATGAGAAAGTAACAATGCTGTCGGAGTTCTTACAACTGTCATAACTCATAAGTCAACATCAAGCAGTCTCCGAAGACAATGGTACTTGGTTTCAAGATGGCAAAGATACAGATGCATCCACATGTACCTTATTATATGTCCAGGAAACACAGTTTGGAGAAGCTTTGAAAATTTTCATTTTATTGATGATAATGCTATCATGCTATGAATTTTTCTTCTATATGTAGATGAAAGTTGTAGGACTCGATTAGCTTAGAATATATTATCAGTAACATGCGCAAGGATGAACATGCCTCACAAAACATGCTTGCATGTTGAGTTACGTTTTGGTTATATCCTGATATCCCACTAAGGTGACTTCTTCTCTAGAATTGGTATTTGCATTATCACCACTTGAATTTAGTATCTTCTCACATATGTTTATCCAGCATTCACAAATGATTCTAATGTAGGCCAAATCTTCAGTTTGTTTAATCTGATGGAAAAATCGATCAAAATTTCTTCTTGTTCTAGGTCAAAACCTTCTCCTTTGGGTTTATTATTGAACAAAAACCAAGAGAAGTAACAAATGTGTTAGATGAACACTATATGAGAAAATAAAAACAGGCTTAAGCAACCAGGGTAAGAAGCATATCAATTCTAATTGAGTCTTTGAGGAATGCTTAAGGATGCATTATCAAGATGAAACAAAACCATTGGAAAATGTGTAGCTGGAAATTATATGGTGTTCTAGAGATCTTTTTTCTTAGACTATAATTCGTGCATACTTATCTGATTCAAGGTAGCATTCTGCAGTAGTAGGTATTGTCATTATTACTAGGCAAATGCTAAATTTAAATTGGATTCGTGGTGGATGCTTTAAATGATAAATATTTCTTGATTACTAAAGTTACATGTTTCTGTGGTTAGTCAATATAAAATATGTTGAAAGTTTACCAATTTATTCCTCCAATTGAGGGATGGATACTTTTTTACACTTTTACATAAACAAAAAATTCATGGTTCACCAAACCTACATGCAAGATTTCAAATCTCAACAGATCAGTTTATATCAGTCCAACAAAGTATCAGGATCGAAACATAAAGCCTCATTTTATCTTTTTCATTATTCAATGATACTAAGCAATATAGGTGAAAAAAACCATTCAATGTACTCCTCGCAGACCAGTAGGTAATCAAAATCTGCACTAACCTGATATTTAAAGCTTTGCTTATATGGTTGTTGGATTATCAAATTCTCATAACAACTATGGAGGATGGATATGCCTTGTAACGTCAGATATTTCTTTTCTATTGGATTTACTGTCACATGATTAGGTAGTGGTTTTCATGTGCTATGCATCGCAGATAGTGGATCTACTGGGCTTCCATCTTTTACTGAAATGAAGAACTCAACTGTCTCAGGGAAGCCAGTTGCCAGTGGATCAACCACACATCTGTCAGATGATGATGAACTTGAGGAGGAGTTAGATACAACTAAGAATGCAGATGGTGTGCGTATGAAACGTATGAAGAGGTAAACACCTCATGATAAGAACTTAATAAGCATTCATTCATGTTGCTACTGGGAGTCAGTCTTTCAGAATTCATCTGTATTTGTTGTGTCATCTGTTTTTCCCAAGGATCTATTCTTGTGTTGTGTTGAGTTTTTTAAAGAAAACTGCTCAGAAAGATTACTTTTTTTATGAAGTCTATTTAAAAGCTTAGAAGACATAGAATAATGGTGGTTGTTGCATAATCTGTTTGGGAAACAACTGCAGGTCTATTTTTTGATGCTTTATATCTACTGGGATTTGGTTTTGAACTTCAACTGCTTCTTGCTCAGGATGCTTTCAAATAGAGAATCAGCAAGACGTTCAAGAAGGAGAAAACAAGAACATCTGAATGAGCTTGAGGCACAAGTATCATTTAATTAGTCAGTTGTTTTTGTATCTTTAGAAGATGAGGAATCTTATCAACTAATGACATTTTTCATTAGGTCTCACAATTGAGAGTTGAGAACTCATCACTTTTAAGGCGTCTTACTAACATGAACGAGAAGTACAATGAAGCTGCTGCTGATAACAGGGTACTAAAAGCAGATGTGGAAACTTTGAAAGCCAAGGTAAGCTACTTGTCACACTTACGCATATGTTCAACTATCGAGTGATGTAGAAGATTTTAAATTTTTTGTCCTTTTACATTAACATGGCCATTTTCATTAGTAGGCTTGAGGATATTATTACTCTAGAGTTATAACATCTTGTTCAAGTCTTTGAAAGTAGTAACATAATTGATTTCATCATCTGATTCATTATAGACTAAATAGGAAGAAGAGTTAAATGTACATGTTTTCAAGATTATATAGTAAAGAAGAATGGAGCTTAATTGCAAAGCGATAAGTTCTGTTCACATTCACTTGCTCGAATCAACTTCGCACCAGGGCAAGTGTATGTAAGATAGGATTAATCCATGAGGTTATTAGTTGGTTACCTACCATACATGGGAGAGCTCTTTATTTTTCCTTAGTTGATTCATCCTATATTCTATACTCCCTCATGGAAGTTTTTCTAATTGCTAACTTCTTTGAATGATTGGAATCATTTGGCTATCATGAACAAATTAAGTTAGCTCAAGTGGTGGCTCTCTATGAAAATTAATATGGTAAAGATTGACTTTTTGATCGATCTAACTAATATTATATGAAGCAACTATGGTATGCAGGTGGTACATTGCCTCATTCCATTTGCTGGCCATTTGATTAATTAGGCTGCATAAGCCTCATGAGAGGTGGGCATTTGACCTCCATTTATGCCATATTTATACCCAATGCAAAGAGAAGACCTCAATCACAACTAATCATCAATCTGAAGCAATCTGTTGAAGCCGATGATAATTGACCAGGTTTGTGTGGGTGTTTGCTTGATCTAAGATGTCTTTTAGGTTTTTTTTTTCTATGGGGTTTCTTTATTTCAGGTTTATTTATGTTTAAGTAGTTCTCTTTGTGCTTTCTGAGTCAATATTTTAGCAAATAGAAGGGTCAAGTTTTACTTAGCTGAACGCTAAATAAGCTAATATTGACTGCCCAAATTAGGTATAAGACAGGACTTTTAAGTTATTCTGAAAATACTCCTTTTCAATGACTGCATGACATGAATTACAAATTAAGAACTTGATGTTCCTTTAATTGGTGCTAAAAGGTCTTAAGGACAGGACTTATGAACTTATATATGACTGCTTTAATAGGACCAAGTTCCTTTCTAAATGTTGTTGGATGGGATGGTGCAAAGTGGAGCAAAGTCTTGTAAGATATTCACAATTGTGAGTTTTAGTTGATCTCTTTATTAGTAGCCAGGGTAAGAGGTAAATTGGCAACTATTGCTTGTTGAATGTCATGAATTAAGCATTATATACTAATACCGTCTCATCATATTTGATCCAATTAATGCAAGTGGTTGAGACCGTCCCAATCTCATAAGTGGTCATGTCATCTGTTCTTCCTATGTTATTTGTCACCTTATGTTGTTTAGCTAATACTTCAAATGACCTGGGTGATACAGATTCCTTATTGATACAACAGTAAGGTAATTAGTATTTGTTGTGTGTCATTTCAAATAATGTACAGTTGAGAGCACTCTCAAATATATTCTGACAAGTGGAAAGCACAATCACTTTTTAACTTGTGTGATAGATTCTTTTATCAATCTAACAATCTCATCAGCTGTGAATATTTAGCTGTGAGCTGATACTACTCCAAGCTCTCATCTCTGCATTTCAGGTGAAGATGGCAGAGGACACCTTAGGTAGGGTAACCGGCAAGAGTCCTCCACTGTATCGGGCGCTTTCTCCCATTTCAACAATTAACATGCCCTGCACTGGGAACTCCTCATCTGATGCCACTTCTGATACTGCTGTTGTAATCCAAGATGACTCAACTCACTTCTCCCAGGCTTTGGCACACGACAAGAAGTCCAACACTTGCTTACTGGAACTCGCCTCTGCGTCACTGATCAAAGATGTCACACATGGGACTGCAGCCAGAGGGAAGAGGAATCGAGCTGCTTCCATGAAACGGGTGGCCAGCTTGGAGAACCTTCAGAATCGGATCTGCAGAAGACGCAGTCCCTGCACGCCGGTGCAGGTGGATGCTGTTGCATGGGATCCTGAGGCCACTCTTGACAACAAGAACCAGGAATAACGTAGTTCTGGAACTGTTGGTCACAATGCTATCTTGTTAGCCCAACGACGGAGGCAGGAAATTGCTTCCATTGTCATCTCGGATGCATGAAAGGCGCCACTTTTTATGCTCTGTTTGTGGTGTTCATGAGTTCTATCAAGCCAGTTCTTCAATTTTCCACGTTGTTGCTTGACATGGAGTCCAATTCCCTCCGTGGCATACAAGCTTAAATTATCAAATGTAGTTCCTTGTACAATCACATGCTCATGTGAGCAGCATACTATCCTAGCATTACTTTGATGTGACTATAAAAGCTGTTTTATTTGGCACCAAAAATTATGATGTAAAGTGTCCTCATAATCACAATGTTCTGCTTTAGATTAACTTAATTTGTAATGTCTTACATTGCTCTTAGTTAATTGCCTAATTGCAACAAGTGTTGCTTTAAAAATTTGCACTCTCAAGACTTCAAGACTTCACAATCACCTGTTTTCTCATCAACATCAGCTTCTTCCACAGTGTTACTTTTCTCCGTCGGTTTGCTTTCTCTCGATGGAGTTCAGTGGGAATTGCAAGTGCGTGTGTGTGTGTGTGTATATATATATATATATATAGAGAGAGAGAGAGAGAGAGAAGAAATGTTGCGCCTTCTACCGACACCCACTAGGAATGCGTACGCGCAGTCGCTACGCTCCGTGATGGCATAACCACGGCCGTTGACTGAGTAGCCACAAGATCCGACAAAACATGAAAGCAGACACTTTGCAATAGCGCGTAGGAAGTCTACGTACGCAACATGCGCGTTACAGGGGATGGGATCCTTTCCTCCTCTCCCGTTATTGCACGCGCAATAACAGTCGATCGTCATGCGTGAGGAAAGCAGAAGATTCGACCTCCGTCGGTGCTACCTGCATCGAGACAATTCATATATTTCTCTATTGGATCATCTCTCTCTCTCTCTCTCTCCAATTTCTTGACGTCATAAAGGGTTGGAACTCAAAGGCTTCGTAGATCTCCTCCTCCTCGTGAGCTTCCCATCTCCCCCGTCGAAAGCTCTCCCCAGGTACCATTCTTTTTGGAATCGCTTGATCTTATAATCCGTTTATTGGATTATTGCATGAAGATTTAGGAATTATATGGTTTTTTGCCTGTTTCTTTAAAATAAGATCTGATGTAACTTTCTTGTTATGACTGCAAATCTCAGAATGGTCAAGAGGGGAAATAGTTGCACCTTGTTCATGATGTTCATGTCGAAAAGCTTGAACTTTGATGACAATTTGCTGACATTTCAAGCAGTTTATTTTCCGGAAATAAGAAGTAGAACAAAAGGATCAAGTTCTTGTTTTTGTTTTCTTTGTTTCTTTCCCACCTCATGGGCTGTGACAGGGTTGATTCGAATCAATAATGGAAGTTGAAAGGAAGCACGATCTAGAGTTACTCTAAGTGGGACTAATTCATGGATCTAGTTAGGTTGGATTTCATCAACCCTAAGTTTCTCTATAAGATATGTGTTTTATACAGGGTGACTGTACGTTTTCCCCTGTTGATTCTTGGTGGCCTCTGCTTTGGTTAATTATGGGTTCTTAGTGTTCAACTAAATGCCAAGGTGACTTTTTTTATATTGGTGGTTTATCATCATAGTTTACCAACGTCGGACAGTTTGTCGGTCGTTGGGGAATTCTCAATGTGGATTTTAGCCACTCTTTTCTCATGGAATATTTCTCCTGTTACCATGTTACTGTTGAGCATATAAGTAGTGTAATCTTTTCTTTTGATCTCTATTTGCCAGTTTCACGTTATTGATACTGTTGTTGTTCTGCATAATTTTGGCTCCTGTTGTCCATCTTTGAAGTTTTGATGTGATTCTGGAAAGAAACATGGAAGATAACTGCAAGTTCATCAAATGGTGCAGGATGGGCAGCACCGGGCATGAGGGAACCGCTTATGGTGCTTACACTTACGAGAACTTGGAGAGGGAACCATATTGGCCTTACGAGAAGCTCCGAATCTCCATCACCGGTGCCGGAGGCTTCATCGCCTCCCACATCGCGAGGCGTTTGAAGAGTGAGGGACACTACATCATCGCTTCCGATTGGAAGAAGAATGAGCACATGACCGAAGACATGTTCTGCCATGAGTTCCATCTCGTCGATCTAAGGGTCATGGACAACTGCCTCAAGGTCACTAGTGGCGCTGACCATGTATTCAACCTTGCTGCTGATATGGGAGGAATGGGTTTCATCCAGTCCAACCACTCTGTCATCATGTACAATAATACTATGATCAGCTTTAACATGCTTGAAGCTGCAAGAATCAATGGTGTCAAAAGGTTTGTGCTGCTCTACTTCTTATATCTTTCCTCTGTATCGTGTAGATTTTTGCTCAGTTTGTCTTAATTTTTTAATTTTTCTTTGGTGACAACTTCAAACTATCTTGCAAGTTAACTGAATAGTTAGCTTTTCTTCAATTTAATTTATGATTCTAGATCATAAATGGCAAACGAGAAGTTTGCTTTTGTACAGCTATCTAACTTACATCTACATCAAGTTTGATTTACATGATAAAGTTTTTCAGATAAAAATGGTTCAGAATTGTCATGAAATGAAGATATACTATACAAAGTGGAATCTGCTTGTGCTTTGAGCTAATTTTACATGCATCAATTTCAAGTTCACTGAAATTTGCTTCTTATTTTGAGGGACTTAGACTTTGTATTAACAGAGACGATAGACGATGGTTATGTTCTGACATACTCCAGAAAAATTGCAGAGATGCACATGATCCCACAGAACCTTTGAATTCATTTCGAGGGTGCTTGTAAGCATCTTCAGATAATTATATGTAGTATGATAAAAGTTCAAAGACAAAATGAACGACAATTGTATAATCAAGTAGGTGAAAGACAATTGTCTAAGCTTTTACATACACTTTCCTGAAATACCATGCTATTGTGGACGTAGTTAACATGACGTCTTTTAACTTTTGCTGATTTAATTCTTCAAAATAATCACATTCAGCACATATTGTAAAAATATTACACCATTTATCAAGTTTTTTTTTTCTGAAGTCCATTTATTCTAATAAAAAGCATAAGAGATTGTTGCAGTTGTTCGTCTGACATCTTTGAAAATTAATCTAATTTTTCTTGCGCTGATGTCTTCATTTTACATAACTAAAATGCAAGGGGCTATGCTCTAATTGATAGTAGACCCTATGGTCTCTTGGAGATTTTGTTATATTTCATGGTTTTGCAAAAGTTGAGGGTGATAAAGAGTGTTCACAATGATGGCTTGCAGGTTCTTTTATGCTTCCAGTGCTTGCATCTATCCTGAATTCAAGCAGCTGGAGACAAATGTTAGTTTGAAGGAGTCTGATGCTTGGCCTGCTGAGGTTAGTTCTGAAATATCAGAAATCATGGGTATTAGATGGTGAAGCTATCTGTTGAGGCATGTAATCTAAACTCTATGTCATGTACTAAAAACTGGTTGTCCGTAGCCTCAAGATGCTTATGGGTTGGAGAAGCTGGCAACAGAGGAGTTGTGCAAGCACTACAACAAGGACTTTGGTATCGAATGTCGCATTGGCCGGTTCCATAACATATATGGCCCCTTTGGAACATGGAAAGGTAACCCACAAGTGGTAGTCTGTCAAAGAAATCATAGCTATGTCTTCTTCTTTGTTTGCTCGGCAAAATCTGATGCTCTTTTTACATTGTAGGTGGAAGGGAGAAGGCACCTGCTGCTTTCTGCAGAAAGGCTCTCACTTCTACGGATAGATTTGAGATGTGGGGTGATGGTTTGCAAACCCGATCCTTCACTTTCATTGATGAATGTGTGGAAGGTGTTTTAAGGTAATTATTGATGCAATGCTATCAGCCACGATGTTTTGTTTGGTTTGTTCTTTCCAGACTGCGAACGAAAGAAGTTTGTAGCTCTGCTACCGAAGTAAAAGGCAGCAATGTAAAGATTGCTGCATTGTTCAAAAGAGATATCTATCACTCGGTTATTGCCACTTATCAATCTGCTGTTTTTATGTATCAGATTGACCAAGTCAGACTTTCGGGAGCCGGTGAACATTGGAAGTGATGAAATGGTGAGCATGAATGAGATGGTGGAAATTGTTCTTAGCTTTGAGGACAAGAAGCTTCCCATCCATCACATTCCTGGTCCAGAGGGTGTTCGTGGTCGAAACTCAGACAACAATCTGATCAAGGAGAAGCTGGGATGGGCTCCAACTATGAAATTGAAGGTACTCGATTAATCCAGTCCTTCATTCTTGCAGACCACCATGGCTAATGCAAATCTTGAACTTTTCCATGTAATTCCACAGGATGGGCTGAGGATCACATACTTCTGGATCAAGGAACAAATCGAAAAGGAGAAGTCCCAGGGCCTTGATACAGCAATCTATGGTTCATCAAAGGTGGTGGGAACTCAAGCACCTGTGCAGCTGGGATCACTTCGTGCAGCTGATGGAAAAGAATGAAATTGGAAAGCTTGGGCATTACTTTTGTCGCCTGTAAGGGGTAGTATGGAGTTCATTTATTTGAGCTGAATTCAATATTTGTGGCCTGTTTCATGTCATACAGAATAGGTTTTTTTCTAATCATATTATGATTCTGTTTGAGGAAAGAATGGCTCTACCAAAGGCTTTCCTGTTAGCCTTCATGACCTTATTTCCTCTATATGAGAATAAACGAATTGTTAATCGGAAATTTTCCTCTTTTGAGTTCTGATTTGTTTGTACAGTTATGAAGCATGTCACTCTTCATTCCTTCCTAGTTTCCCTTTTCTCAAATCTGAAGTGCCCAGTTGAGCCAAATGGACAAAAAAACAAGGGGCATAATTTCTGTTTGATGCCAAATAGATGAAGACCAGAATCTAATAACACGAAAAGTATTTACGCGCAGATATTGAATAATAGGAAATTAATAAGTCACTTAATTTCTATCAATATTGAATAGGTAAAGTTTAAACTTTCTATCTGCTGGTTATTCCAGTGTGCAGATTTTGGTACAGCATTCTGAAGTGGCATATTGTATGATTAGTTCATAAGCACATGGTGACAACCAATGCAAGCTCAACCTGGTTCATGAGGACAACAAACCTCTCTGTTCATCAACTTTTGAAGGACTTGTATGACACCAATAGATCAAATAGCATTGGCAGGGTCTATCAACCTAAAAGAAAGAGATTAAAACTCACCTGGTGCTGCAAGACATGCTTGCTTCTGACCATCAGTGAGTAAAGTACACTGTGAGCACATCACATTAAAAAAAGTAAGGAGTGCAGAAACAACAAGATATTAAAATTTTTATAAAAATATGACCAAATTCTAAATTCATTTATTAAATGTTTAATGATGGGTTGGTTACATATTAGAAGTTAAGGTAATCTCATACTTCCTTCAAAATTCCCATCAACAAATCCACCACGAGCACTCCACCGTAAGGGTAAACATCAAGTATGTATGATGGACATAGTTGAGATCACGGGATCCATTTTTAGTTTCATTGGTTGGTACGGTACGACAGGTGAGGAAGGCCTAAGCAGCAGTTGTCGCTTGCCTGCTTGCAACTCGATATCCGACGACGAATATGTTTTATGCTGATCTGTATCCACGTGGTGCCACATTGTGAAATCAGTCTCTCGGATGTGTTCCATCGGAAGGAGTTTGATGTCGGCTAGCGATAATTTTCCTTGTCCTATTTTTTATATTCAAAAGCAATGCATCTTTTAAACCATATAATGAAACTACAGAGAAACTACACAGGTAGTTGAACTCAGGATTGTAGCACACTTGCAACTTGTTTCAATGCTGACAATCCACCCTTAGATTCTCTCTGGATGGTTTGTTCAGAGGCAGAGATATCAATAAGCTAGAGACAAAGGGTAGCATACGGGTGAGGCTGATTCAATGTCCTTTAGACAATGTCCAAAATTTTCCAGGAATTCCGTTCTCGAACACAGTACGAAGCTTTTAGACAATGTCCTTTTCATGTCAGAAAGTAACTCTAACCACATGTACCATACAAATCATACTGGACAAGCCTGTACCTATCGTAAGGCTGATGCACAGTCTGGATTAAGAGTTGATAAATTAACACCACAGTGCTCAAACCACTAACAAGTGAGATGGCTCATATAGGTGAACATGTCCATGTCAAGGGGACAAAGATGGTGGAAGATGCTTTTGCTGAGTCATCGAACCTCAGAGACGCTATGACGCTAGAGCAACTTGCTAGGCCTGAATAATACAATGGGGATTTGAAAATTTAATGGCAACCAATCAGAACTTGCCAGGAAACATCATATTTCAGCACCAAAGTTGGGATGTTCCGATGAAGAACTGCATGGGGAGTTCCAGGCTGAAATAAATGATCCAAAGAGACATTCCAGTTCTCATGAGTCTGCACAAAGCAAAGTATCATCAGAATGTCTGAAGAGTGAATGCTGAATATTTCTTGGACATAGAACTTACATCTGGAATACATACTGCCTCCATATGGAGGAGGAACTCCTTGCCTCTGGAGAAACAAAACAAATGTGTGTCATGCACCAAAAGAAGTGCTAGAAGACAACATGAGCACCCACATGACCTTGCAGCAACTAAAGCATGCTAAATACTCCTATTTTGCCTTCTATCAGGGACCAATCAGTCAAAGTTTACCTGAAAGGTGCTTGAATGTTCTGCCACCCCATAGCGAGTACCTGATTTTGGCAAAACGTTACGTCATATGCCTGAAATACTCAAATTACATGGATGATCAAAATTCCAAACCATACCACTTGGATAACCAACACTTTGATGCTGATAGTATGGCAAAGATGAGCCAGGCAATCCATGGGGATGTGCACCATAGCTGACCAGCGCATGGAAAATCGCAAAGTAAATAATAGGAGAAAAAGTTGGATAAAGGTTACCCAACAAGATACAGTTCATAAGGTTGGCTAATTAAACCTCGAGCTCGAAACTGGAAAAGAATTGTCAAGACGGGCACGAGGATATCCTCTCACATCAGAGTATGCTGCATCTTCTCCCTGCAGCAATAGTGGCATATCAAGGATATGATCAGATGGGACCAAGAGAGCATATTTTTAAGACATCAGTAGTTACCATATAAGAAAAGGCACGTTTCCCTCCAGCCGCAATATGTGAATAATCTTGGACCGCAGGACCTGTTGTCAAACGATAGTGAAAAGGAAAATCCTTGCAAGAACTTCTGTGATACAGGCTGACTTATATTTCAATCATCATTTATTTTAAAAAAAATCAAGTGATCAAGTCAGAATCAAAACTTTGGACCTTATGAGATCCTTAAATAGACAACAGGTCATAGAACTAAAAGACAATTTTCTAACTTTGTCAACCTAAAATATACACATGATAGGATATCATACCAACACCAAAGATAGTGTCAATAGAAAGTGGAAAAACAATGTAGTTTTAGAAAATAATATATATTGAGCTCCTCCCAGCAAAATTACCAGTGACACTAATACCATACATTCAAGCTTCAACCAGCTTGCCGCAAACAGGGAGACACCAAAAACAAAAGAAAAATAAAATAAGTATCAAGGAATAAAGAACACATAAAGTCAGAGAAAACGAAAACAAAACAAATTCCTCTAAATAAATAGAGCCCAAAAGGTAGCACTATTGTATAAACAAGATATTTTAGTTTATTAATTCACTTGATGCTATCATTTCAAAGTCCATATTTGCAGTATACAAAGTAACTTCCTTACTTCATAATCAACCATGCCACTAACTCAAGAAGCATTCTCATAAGTAGATTCTCACACAGCATCTTAAGCATTCTCATAATCTAACTCAATAAGAAACAATGTCATCGACCATACCTCCTAACTCAAAGTCACAGTGATATTTCAAATTATATCTAAAAAACACCCTTATGAAACAACTACAATATATATA